CTGCAAGGCTGAAGGAACAGTTATCATGATGAGATACAGTAGGCCTATAATAACATACCTCTGAGAGAGAGAATGAAAACATCCCGTATGATGCTACCCATCTGAGAACATTACAGCACACAGACCTTTTCACCTCACAACTTTACTTTGACCCAAATTTGACCTCTGGTGTTAAACAATGATCCAGCTCCTTTAATAATGTTAATAATTTAGAATTCTCAATGTTTGATTGTGATCCAATGTTTAGATGGTGGAAAGTTTATTCTGTCTGTGTGTGTTACACACTTCCCCTGTTCAGGTTAATGTGTCAGAGTTATCATCTACATACATATTTCCCAATCATGTTCTAGAGAAGCACTTAATAACATTTTCTAGAACCATTTAACCTCTATGGGATTGGTGTCCCATATACGGGACGGTTGAGCTAACATGCGCTAATGTGAGTAGCATGACTGTTGTAAGTAACAGCAAACTTTCCAAAGCTTAAATTATTGTTAATCTAACTGCACTGTCCAATTTACAGTAGTTATTACAGGGAATAAATACCATGCTATTGTTTGAGGAGAGTGAACAACAACAAAAAACTTATCACAGCAACTGGTTTGATACATTCACCTCTGAAGGTAAATAATGTACTTACATTCAGTAATCTTGCTCTGATTTGTCATCTTAAGGGTCCCAGAGATAAAATGTAGCATAGTTTTGTTTGATAAAATCCATTTTTATATTCAAATGTAGGAACTGGGTTCTACAGTTTGAACCCCTGCTGTCTCTGGCTCCACACCCACCCCGCCCGGCCATCTAGATGTGTGAAAGTTAGTGTATAAGCTAATGATCCATCATGTATGACATTCCTGGGAGTGTGTAAACTTACATTTTGTATTACCATATCATTTTTGTATGTTCTCTATAGTTATGTACTTGAAAATGTATCAATTGACCAATTCTGCACATTTGGGCAGACTTGATACAAAAAAGTCCAGTATTGCAATGCTTCACTGGATCAATCTGAAACTTTGCACACACACTGCTGCCATCTAGTGGCCAAAATATAAATTGCACCTGAACTGCAATATTATATTGTGGCCTTTCTCTTGCATTTCAAAGCTGATGGAACCCCAACAAAAATAGAAAACGCATGTTTTTTTGTTTGTGTTATCTTTTACCAGAGCTAATGTGTTATATTCTCCTACATTAATTTCACATTTCCACAAACTTCAAAGTGTTTCCTTTCAAATGGTATCGAGAATATGCATATCTGTTACAGGAGGGGGACGCAGTTCCGGAGCGACCCACTAGGTGTCATCCGCCGACAACCTTAGGCACCTCCTCACTCATAGTCGGGACTAATCATCATCCTATTGGTGTCACCTGTGTCTATCGGTTCACCTGTGTATTTATGCCCTCACTTCCCTGTGTTCCCTTGCTCAGTTTTCTCTGCTAGTTTCTCTATCTCCAGCAGTACTACTCAGTGTCTGATCGGAGATATATGTACAGGTACTTGAGAAGTGTTCTCCCTGTTTCGTTATTTGTTTCAGTCTTAGGTAGTATTTCGTAATTTGGCTGTCAGCCGTTTTTTGGAGACTTATTTGCTCCGCCTTTCTTTTATCGTGATAAGTCCGTTCTTTTGTATTTTGGCTTCGGGACCACCAGTAAAGATCCTTGTTTCACCATCTCTGCCTACTGCCTACTGTATATCCTGCACCGCACCTGGGTCACACTTCACCCCAACCCTTACAGAAAACTGAGCCAATATGGACCCAGCGGAGGCAGCACAGTATCGGAGCGCATTGGCAACACAGGGAGCTATGCTGAACCAACACGACCGCAGCCTGCAGCAGATCACCGAGAATCTCCGCCATCTGACGATCGCCGTGCAGAGCCGGGTGGACACCCGACCAGCCCCGGCAGCCGGCGGAGCAGAAGCCGCGGCAGCGTCGTCTCCAGTCTCGCCTGCGACATCGAGGGAACCCCGCCTACCACCTCCGGAGAGGTATGACGGACGTCCAGAGGGCTGCAGGGAATTCCTCACCCAGTGTTCCCTGATATTCAGCAGCCAACCTTCCTCCTTCCCGACGGAGCAGGGCCGGGTGGCCTACATCATCACTCTGTTGACGGGTCGGGCCCTTTCCTGGGCAACCGTGGAGTGGGAGAGCCAAACTCCGGCGTGCTCCGACTCCTACCAATTCACATGGGAGCTACGCAAGGTGTTCAACACCTCTCGGGTGGTGTCGGGGCACGAGGCCTGGAGGCGGCTCACGGCCTGTCGACAGGGTGACCGTTCGGTGGTGGACTACTCCGTGGAGTTCCGGACCCGGGCTCGAGAGGCAGGATGGGAGGAGGCCGCCCTGGTCGTCCTTTACGCCCAAGGGCTATCGGGGATGAAGGACGAACTCTCCTTCAGGGATCTGCCTGAGCGACTGGACGGCCTTGTCGAACTCTCGGTGCGGGTAGACAATCGGCGTTGTGAGAGGGCACATAAGAGAGGGATGATGCAAGGCGCGCCTCTGCGTCCCCCTATCAACCCGGAGGCTTTCCGCCGATTCAGGGAGGAGACTCCTCAGGAGGAGGCTATGCAGCTGGGGGTGGCGCGCTTGTCCAGGATGGAGAGGCAGAGGCGTCTGCGCCAGGGACGTTGCCTGTACTGCAGCCAGGCAGGTCACCACTGCGACTCATGGCCGAAGAAGCCGGGAAACCAGAGGGCTCGCTAGTATCCGGAGGGGTGCTAGCGAGCCGGAACCGAAATCCCAACTTCAGAGACTCTCTGACATTTCTCCGCGTCAGGGTTCAGTGGGCCTGCGCTGCGCGTCGGGTGCATGCACTGGTGGATTCTGGGGCCGCGGGAAACCTGATGGACGCGGGGCTGGCCCAAGGGTGTAGTGTTCCGTTACTCTCCCTCTCTGAGCCGGTTCCGGTCATGGGCCTGGACGGCCGGCCGTTGGGGTCGGGCTTCATCACCCGGCGCACTGTCCCTGTGCGTGTCTGGGTGGCTGGGGGAGACTTATTTGCTCCGCCTTTTATTTTATCATGATAAGTCCGTTATTTTATGTTTTGGCTTCGGGACCACCAGTAAAGATCCTTGTTTCACCATCTCTGCCTACTGCCTACTGTATATCCTGCACTGCACCTGGGTCACTCCTCACCCCAACCCTTACACATATCCTTGCTTCAGGTCCTGAGCTTCAGGCAGTTAGATTTGGGTATGTCATTTTAGGCGAAAATTTAAAAAAAGGGGTTAAGTATTTAAACCAGTGGTCTGAGAGGGGAGGGGAAAACTGAAAATTAGCTGTTATTGGCAAAGAGGTTTGGAACTCTCTTTCTTATTGGTCTACTAATTAATTTACCACCTGGTGATATCACCAGGCAGGTCAAAACTCAATCCCACCAAAACAGGCTGAAATGTCAGGCAGTCTTTTCAAACAGCTCTTACACTAAAAGGACATTATCATCATTTTCACAATTTCACAGTATTATTCCAACCTCATGCTGTGGACATATACACTGAGTGTACAAAACATTAGGAACACCTTCCTAATATTGAGTTGTACCCCCTTTTGCCCTCAGAACAGCCTCAATTCGTCGGGGCATGGACTCTAGGTGTCGAAAGCATTCCACAGGGATGCTGGCCCATGTTGGCTACAATGCTTCCCACAGTTGTGTCAAGTTGGATGGATGTTCTTTGGGTGGTGGACCATTCTTGATACACATGGGAAAATGTTGAGTGTGAAAACCCCAGCAGCGTTGCAGTTCTTGGCACCTACTACCATACCCCGTTCAAAGGCACTTAAATATTTTGTCTTGCCTATTTACCCTCTGAATGGCACACGTACACAATCCATGTCTCAATTGTCTCAAAAATCCTTCTTTATCCTGTCTCCCCCTTCATCTACACTGATTGAAGTGGATTTAACAAGGGATCATAGCTTTCATCTGGATTCAACTGGCCAGACTGCAGTGTCATGGAAAGAGCAGGTATTCCTAATGTTTTGTACACTCAGTGTTTATAAAACATAGGAAAATCATGTTTTTGCCTGCACTGTGCCTTTAATTGGTCAGGCAATAACCCAAAAATCACGTTGATTCTGGTTGCATTCTGGCTGCTAGGAGTCTTGAGTAACTCAGTTGTGTTGTTATCAAAAACCACCATCAGAAAAATGGGATGTTACTTTTATGGAATGTGGACAACAATAGTGGGGTGGGGTGGGGGTACTGGTGTTCTGAGTGAAATGGTATTTCACAGCCCATCTCGTCAGATAACACCCAGTGACTCATGCTGAGCTGGCACAGGATGAAAACACACTATTCCAGTCTCTCCCCTGCCTGCCCTCCATATAATGAGTCTTCCAAAGAGGCAGACATGTCCTGGCTTGTCCTCAGATGAGCACCAACTACACAAATGTGCTGAGATGCTAAACAGGTTTATTAATATTTGTTTTGCATCACAACTATGCAGTGTCAATATACCAATGACATTGAATCCCTTGCTAAAAATATAGTTTTAAAATGTTGTGAATCCTTCCCCAGAAACAATCCCAAACAAAATCAATTGAAGTATATATATCTTTATTAACGAAGTATCAAAAACTAAATAGACATGAGTACATAATTTGTTTCAACGTGAGGTTTTACCTGACTTGATACAATTTGATCTTTCACATCCACTCAGACACATTTAATAATACTTTTTAGTGAGCAATGTTTAAGTGAGACAAAAAAATGGATGGTGGAATAGAAAAGCAAGAAAGGTATTGAAGTACATAAAACAGGCGTGTCATCCATCAAATTAATTATCTCAGTAGTAACCCCATCCATGACTAGCATGCCTGTTTGAACATGAAACACTGAACTACACAAAAACAAAACACATGGACGCCTGCGTCTCTTTCACTGTATTCCTCTCAACCGTTTACTCACAAACCAACCCAAATAAACAGTCTCTTACCATAAACCACACATGTATTATTTTGAGACATTACAGAATATACAGACAAAAGCTTCCATTGATCGTAAAAATGTGTTGTTTGAGCAATGAGGCTAACCAGAGTTTCTGGTTGCGCAACTGTATTGTGATGATGTCACAGCACAACCTGTGGACTGATGGGAGGGGGGCTGGTTTGGCAGTGGGCTTAAGGACTTGGTAATTGCAGACGAACACTGAGGCAATTCATGTAATCTTCCATGACTTTAAAGTGAAACCTTCAGACAAGAAGAGTGCTAAATAATTCCACTTAGACATCTAGCTACTGATACCTAGTGGTTCTATTTTATAAGCTTCAATAATACATACAAGACAATAGGAGGTGTTAGTTGGTTTACATATATGGTATACAGTAACTACACACTTTTATCTAGGTGAAGAAAATCTAATATGAATCACACAACCATATCTTCAACACTTAAGAGAAAATATTACAGGTCACTATGAAATCAGGGCCTATTCAGAATACACCAGTTTACAGAGATGTAATGACTGATTTTCATTAAGGGAGGTCCGGGGCTAACAGTGCCATTGTCTGTCAGTAAGTTAGATGAAATGCTGTCTGAGTGAATCGTCATTGCATGCACTCCCTTTACTGTCCTATAACATGAGGGTTCCTGTGATATGAACTATACCTGTATATCCTGAGTTAGTAGTAGCAGCTTCAGAGGTTTTTGTTAGGCAAGTCAAGGGGAAGAAAGTGAGCTATAGACACAGCTAATACCGAATATATTCAATAAACACAACAGCAAACACTTCATACAATGTATAAGAGCCTTTCATTCTAGCTATAACCTCTTCTCTTATATGACAGTAATAACACAGCTATTAATGTCACACAGCACACAGCTATTACTATCTCTCCACTTTAATCGTGTGTCATAACAAGAAGTATTTTTCCTCAACAAGCATCTATCTCAACTGACCAGTGAAATCATGTGCCTTTACTATATTGGCATAATGCTTTCATACAAAAACAGAGAATGAGTCATCAACCTCGAATAACAATGTTAAAGATTTAAGGAAACAATAAACACATTGGATGTATTTCTATGTTTTAGTGCTTTGACATTCGCCCGACTTGCCGGAACACCCCAAGCCTACCCTAGGTAGCACACAGGGTGTCCGTCCTTGTCCTGTCCAGTCCACTCTTTTCTCTTTTCACCATCCCATAAGTCACATAGTTTAGAAGTGGGACGCGCAAAGCTCCTTTGCTTTGCCGGCCCGACAGAGCCTTCACTTGACGCAGGTGCAATACAGTTGCCAGAGGACGGTGAGTGTCTGTCTGAGTGAGTGAGTAGTACCCTACTACCCCCAGGAGTGTGTGGATCAGTGATGGCCACAGGTGGTTGGCACTGAGGTGTGGAGGTGGTCCAGCTGTCCCATCTGCAGGGTACCCTCCTTGATCTGCTGGATGAACAGGTTCCTCTCATCCTCGGGGGTCTGGCCGTTCTGGGCCCGTACGATGCAGGTGGGCCGGTGGAGGTTCAGCATGTAGACCAGCTGCTGCTTCTGGTTCTTCAGCTCCTCAATCAGGGCCTTCAGCTCAGAGTTCACTGACTCTAGTTTCTCAGACTCCTGGAGGAGAGAAGGGAATAGTGGTTTGATTCAATCCTGTCACTGACAGCTCCCATGTTGGTTCATTATTTTGAAAACTCAATTATGTTTAGTGCATTTTAGTTTGTATGCAAATACTGGAGTGTTATGTTGCTGTTTTGAGGCAGACATTTATATAGAGCCCTTATCTATTTATTTATTAAATATCTTCAATTAAGAGTCACAAAATAATTTGATATTAAATAGAAATTATCCTTATGGCACATTAATGAGGCTGCTTGAGGCCCTAACTTTATTCGAAAAACCTTTTGAATAATTAAATATATGAGATAATATAATACTGTATGTCTACTTAATAAATCACAAAATACCACTTGACACAGTCTGGCAGCCTCTGATTCATATGAATCCTCTCTCCCCATCATAATAATGTTGTACTGCCCTGTAAAATATACATTGAACGTACCTTTTGAAGACAGTCAGTTGTCTCCTTCTTCTTATTCCTACATTTGGCAGCAGCTACTTTGTTTCTTTCTCGTCTTCTTTTCCTCCTCTCACTTTCCTCTGGGGTTTCCTGTTAATGACACATCAGCCAAATTAACAACCTTGAATAATATACCAAACTTCCTGGCAAATTAATGATATGGCTGATCATTTAATAATGTCTGGTAGGCTATACAATGTGTTGGTAAACCTGTAATCACAGTGATCTCATCTACGAATTAATTCTCACCCAGTTCAGTGAAAACATAAAACATAGGCATATACCAAAAAAGGAACTTGCCCTTATGTTATGTATGAATTACTATTGGCATTATAGGGGGAGTAGATATTACAGTAAGCGACTAATGTTGACATCCTTACCTCCCTCTTGACACTTGGAGCTTCAGACGTTCTGTCTGAACTTGAGCTCACACAGTCGCTCATATCGGTGCTCAGTCCGTTGGACAGCCGCTTGTTCTGGATAGCGTATCTCAACTCCTCCTTTACCAGGGGAGTGAAGTTGGTGAAGTCCTCGAGCGTGAGTGTTCCAGGCGGGGACAGGCAGGGTACCAAGGCTGACGCGCTGATGTCGGACAGGCTGAATCCCGGATGCTGAAGCATCATTATGAAAAACTGAAACAAAAAGTGATACTGTGTCACATTAAGCTGACTAAGAGCGAAACAAAAACCAAACATTAAACATGGATACTGGACTGAATAAAAAACGTCAGATATGAGCAGCAATCTGACAAGTGGGCAACACTATCAATAAAATAAATAAAGCTTCTAACAATAAAATTAAAAGCTTCTAGAAAAATTAAAATTTTCCCTTAGGTTAAACATATTTTCACTTGCTGGATAATGTATACCATTAGACTATTTTTCAAATATACAAAAGACTGATTGGTATGAGAACTAGAATCTATGTCACTTATTCCACCAGACACAGCAGTTGTTCGCTACATTTTTGTCTAACATGCCAAAATTACAACAATATATAAATAAAAGCAAATACATCGCCCTGTTAAACAATGTAACAAGCTATGTGGGCCTAACATTCTTTCTCTTTGAAGTGCGTGTCACTTTTAGGGACAGTGGATATGTTACAACATATCAACCCAGTTGCCACAGACCATTTCAAAACAACACATTAGACAATGAGAAATAAACTATACTTTGATTCACATAAACAAAGATACGAGTAAGAATTCTAAATTTAAGGCCGTTTTCTTTATGAAAGGACGTCAGTCCGGCTGCCACTATGCTACACCTCCGCAACATTACACTGATGTGGCACAGAGTCGGTTTTCCTGAAAGCGCTTTTCCTATACCACACCGGAATAAACTTTTTACAACAACAAAAAATAGACCTACCTGATTATGTTTTCAGTGAAGAAATTGTGTTAGACGTTGAAAGGCCTTTATTCTGCTCCTGGTTGTAAGGCTCTTCTGTCTGTTAAGAAAGCTACAGTTGTCGATGGAGCGTTGCATCACCCTGTTTTATAGTGAGTCCTCTTGCTCGGCATTTACTAGTAGGTGGGCGGGTCGTGGTGACGTAATCCTATTCATAGCACTGTGGAAGCTTATTTGCAATGATGCAATCTAGCAACCCCGTGTAGCACACCATAACAGGGCAAGCTCAGCCCCCTTTACTCACAAGGAATTTGTCGTAACATTTCACACTAATGAGCAAATAAAGACATAATAGTTTAATGATCCGGAGCGTTTTTTGTATAGTCTATACATTTTATTGGCTAGTGTCATAAAATAAAAGGGATGTTGAATGTAGCAGTGAGGGGCTTGCCCATCTCCCTCTTATCATATCAGTCATATCATAACCAGCGTTCAGTGCAAAGGTATGTCTAGGATACTAGCAATAGGAATAATAATAATGATCATCATCATAATATAATGTTTAGTTTATCAGGGAGCTTCAATTAATTAGCCTATTGCTTCTGAAATAAAGTGAAGGTACATTGAACTACAGTTATATTTTTTAAATGAGGATTTACAAATCAAGGTACTGTAAATAATTTCATATTTTTGTGTTTTGTGTTGTATTTCGATGTTATCTATTACTTTTACCCCAATTACTTATATTATTGAAATATCATAATTGTAGATGTCATATTTGATGTGAATCACATGTTAAGTTAATTACAAATCTTGAATGATATGGGTGGCCGGGTGGACAGGTCAGGGCCAGTTTATATCTATAATGCTGCATCTACCAGCCTCATTCGAACCATCCTGATCTCGAAGAGATTATATTCTGTTTCGCTATGTATCCATGTAACGAAACAGAATGTAAGCTTGCGAGATCAAGATGTGTTGTACGAGGCATGTACCCCATTCTACAAAATCTACTGTCATATTACTGAGCTATAGTCTCAAGGAAAGTTAATTTAGCTCTTATGGAAAAAGCTATATAAAAGTGATATATGTAGGATGTTGCTCTTCTACTAATCTCACTGCAACTCCCCTCCATGTCTCCGACCACTACTTTGTATCCTTTTCTCTCTCGCTCTCCTCCAACACTACTCACTCTGCCCCTACACAGATGGTAACGCGCCGCCGCAACCTTCGCTCTCTCTCTCCCACTACTCTCTCCTCTTCCATCCTATCATCTCTTCCCTCTGCTCAATCCTTCTCCCTCCAATCTCCTGATTCTGCCTCCTCAACCCTCCTCTCCTCCCTTTCTGCATCCTTTGACTCCCTGTGTCCCCTATCCTCCCGGCCGGCTCGGTCCTCCCCTCCAGCTCTGTGGCTTGATGACTCATTGCGAGCTCACAGAACAGAGCTCCGGGCAGCTGAGCGGAAATGGAAGAAAACTAAACTCCCTGCCGACCTGGCATCTTTTCACTCCCTCCTCTCTACATTTTCTTCATCTGTTTCTGCTGCTAAGGCCACTTTCTACCACTCTAAATTCCAAGCATCTGCCTCTAACCCTAGGAAGCTCTTTGCCACATTCTCCTCACTGCTGAATCCTCCCCCCCCCCCCCTCCTCCCTCTCTGTGGATGACTTTGTCAACCACTTTGAAAAGAAGGTTGACGACATCCGATCCTCGTTTGTTAAGTCTAATGACACTGCTGGTCCTGCTCACACTGCCCTACCCTATGCTTTGACTTCTTTCTCCCCTCTCTCTCCAGATAAAATCTTGCGACTAGTGACTGCAGGCCGCCCAACAACCTGCCCGCTTGACCCCATCCCCTCCTCTCTTCTCCAGACCATCTCCGGTGACCTTCTCCCCTACCTCACCTCGCTGATCAACTCATCCTTGACCGCTGGCCATGTCCCTTCCGTCTTCAAGAGAGCGAGAGTTGCACCCCTTCTCAAAAAACCAACACTCGATCCCACTGATGTCAACAACTACAGACCAGTATCCCTTCTTTCTTTTCTTTCCAAAACTATTGAGCGTGCCGTCTTTAGCCAACTCTCTTGCTATCTCTCTCAGAATGACCTTCTTGATCCAAACCAGTCAGGTTTCAGGACTGGTCATTCAACTGAGACTGCTCTTCTCTGTGTCACGGAGGCTCTCCGCACTGCTAAAGCTAACTCTCTCTCCTCTGCTCTTGTCCTTCTAGACCTGTCTGCTGCCTTTGATACAGTGAACCATCAGATCCTCCTCTCCACCCTCTCCGAGCTGGGCATCTCCGGCGCGGCTCACTCCTGGATTGCGTCCTACCTGACCGGTCGCTCCTACCAAGTGGCGTGGCGAGAAGCTGTCTCCGCACCACGTGCTCTCACCACTGGTGTCCCCCAGGGCTCAGTTCTAGGCCCTCTCCTTTTCTCCCTATACACCAAGTCACTTGGCTCTGTCATATCCTCACATGGCCTCTCCTATCATTGCTACGCTGACGATACACAACTAATCTTCTCCTTTCCCCCTTCTGATAACCAGGTGGCGAATCGCATCTCTGCATGTCTGGCCGACATATCAGTATGGATGACGGATCACCACCTCAAGCTGAACCCTGGCAAGACGGAGCTGCTCTTCCTCCCGGGGAAGGACTGCCCGTTCCATGATCTCGCCATCACGGTTGACAACTCCGTTGTGTCCTCCTCCCAGAGTGCGAAGAGCCTTGGCGTGACCCTGGACAACACCCTGTCATTCTCCGCTAACATCAAGGCGGTGACCCGATCCTGCAGGTTCATGCTCTACAACATTCGGAGAGTACGACCCTGCCTTACACAGGAAGCGGCACAGGTCCTAATCCAGGCACTTGTTATCTCCCGTCTGGATTACTGCAACTCGCTGTTGGCTGGGCTCCCTGCCTGTGCCATTAAACCCCTACAACTCATCCAGAATGCCGCAGCCCGTCTGGTGTTCAACCTTCCCAAGTTCTCTCACGTCACCCCCCCTCCTCCGCACACTCCACTGGCTTCCAGTTGAAGCTCGCATCCGTTACAAGACCATGGTGCTTGCCTATGGAGCAGTGAGGGGAACGGCACCTCCGTACCTTCAGGCTCTGATCAGTCCCTACACCCAGGCGAGGGCATTGCGTTCATCCACCTCTGGCCTGCTGGCTCCCCTTCCTCTGCGGAAGCATAGTTCCCGCTCAGCCCAGTCAAAGCTGTTCGCTGCTCTGGCACCCCAATGGTGGAACAAGCTCCCTCACGACGCCAGGACAGCGGAGTCACTCACCACCTTCCGGAGACATTTGAAACCCCACCTCTTTAAGGAACACCTGGGATAGGATAAAGTAATCCTTCTACCCCCCCCCCCCCCCCCCCCCCCCCCCCCACACACAGGCTATAGGGTGAATGCACCAATTTGTAGTCGCTCTGGATAAGAGCGTCCGCTAAATGACGTAAATGTAAAAAAAAAAATGTAAAAATGTAGGACACGATAACCGCCACATTATTCCCCATTACTCTATCGTATCTTTGTTTGATTCCACAACAAGGTTAAACTGATAAGAAACTCAAACCATGCTACTGAGACTGTGAACTTCTATTGGGATCACTGCTTTAATTTCTCAGTTGGAAAATATTTCAGTTGTCGGTACAGATCAGTTTTAGTTTTTTAGGCTAGTAAAATGTTTTACTTCCGGTATATTGGCCTAAGATATAAACTTCTAATTTATACTTGCATTTCAAGAGGTTTTGATACTTTTGCAAGGGGGCATGTTTTGTTTCAGTTGTATTTTTATGTCATAAACAGGATGGATAAAGACATTTTCAAAATTATGTTTTGAAATATGCAATAGCTTTTGAAATATTGTTAGTTATTCATAGCTAGTAGTGGCTCACTTGACAGTGTTTCACTATAGTTTTGCCTTTGTTCAAGCTGTGCTGGCCTCTGGGAGAATGGTGGTTGGGAGTGTGCAGTAAGCGAGAACTGCATTCCTCTAGTTGATGTGAAGTGCAGCTTCTAGTAATAGTCAGGTCAGCCAGTCTCCCCTCCCGTGCCCTCCCTTGTCTGATCCCAGCTATTACCTTTGTGTTCTGGAAACGTCCTATCCTACAGTGGTGGAAAAAGTACTACGTTTTCATACTTGAATAAAAGTACAAATACCTTAATAGAAAATGACTCAAGTAAAAGTGAAAGTCACCCAGTAAAATACTACTTGAGTAAAAGTCTAAAAGTATCTGGTTTTAATCGTACTTAAGTACAGTGGTGGAAAAAGTACTCAATTGTCATACTTGAGTAAAAGTAAAAAGTAAAAGTAAATACTATACATAAAATTCCTTATATTAAGCAAACCAGACTGCACGATTTTCTTGTTTTTATTTAATTTACGGTCAGCCAGGGGCACACTCCAACACTCAGACATCATTTACAAACACAGTAAATGTGTTTAGTGAGTCCGCCAGATCAGAGGCAGTAGGGATGACAATGCATTATATTGATAGGTGTGTGAATTGGACCATATTGCTGTCCTGCCTGAGCATTTCAAATGTATCGAGTACTTTTTGGTGTCAGGGAAAATGTATGGAGTAAAAAGTATATTATTTTCTCTAGGAATGTAGTGGAGTAAAAGTAAAAGTTGTCAAAAATATAAGTAGTAAAGTAAAGTACAGTTACCCCAAAAAACTACTTAAGTAGTACTTTAAAGTATTTATACTTAAATACTTTACACCACTGCTATCCAATCGCCAACCCTTCCACCATTCGTCGTCATTGCCACCCCTTCTCCTGGCTTACATGGGTTTAATTTGTCTCTGTACACACGCAGTTACCAAGGAGCCATGTCATAGTATTGGAAACATATGTTGACTTTCCATATCGGAAGCTTTATAGACATCAGACTGTCATATAACAGTGACGCCAAGGTGCATACCTGGCTTGTACAAGTTAATAATTAACTACACCGCTTCCCCAAACCTGGAGATAATACTTCATGTGGGTTTTTGAATGTTAAGTGTAGCCTACATAAACCATAAATGTAAGGGTGTATACAAAAGTTTTTAAAGCACTAAAGGTGCCCTCAAAAAAGGAGACCTCATGTGAGACATAATCTCGGTTAACCC